CATGACCGGCTTGAATGAAAAAATAGTATCTAGCAGCAGCGGTGTGAGTACAGCGCTAGATAAAAAATAAACAGTGTCAGAATAGATCAATTCCCAAATCATTTAGCGAGCTTTCCAGTAACCACATCGAATCTACGGCACACGCAATTCACTACGGCCCGTTTTGCGTCATGGGAAAACACTCCCGTTCGTCGACACTTAAAGCCTCGTGCACTAATTCTAATCGCCGTTAAAATTGTTTCATTTTATTTTCATCTATCTTTATGAACAGTATAATTCGAATTGATTGTATACTATTATGTGGATAAATCGGAATAATGAATTGATCGGTATAGAAACGTGCCCACCGATTACTCATGGATAATTAAATGAATATTTACTTTACTACATTAGTCATGCAGATTATTTTTTTTTTTATAATCGAATGGGATAATATCTTTCTTTTCTTATCCATAATAATACATTATAATTTTTTTTTTTCAATAATACTAATAATAATCTGTATAATTAAAAGAGTGAGGAAAATTTTGTCTCCGGTGTATTTACATCATAAAATGAGTTTTATTAAATTAAATTTAGTATCATTGGAAAGGTCTTGACCTAACTTTGTGCTTTTTTAGTATTTCATATGATTTTCAGCAATAGTTAATTTATTATGATAAGTTTTCAAAGTAGTAGATTCGAATTTCGTGATAAACCTCATTTGTTTGTTTGTTTATTTTATTTTGCACATGTGAAAGTGATTATATGTCAGAAATTAGTTTATATAATTAAGAGACAAAAAAAATCTTTGTAAGAGTTATATCGTTATCGTGAATTGGATTTGATATTTTTTCAGCAAAAGTCATTTATGCTTTATAAAATTGAAAGAATAAAGAAAATTTTGTCACGAGGATATTATTATCTTGAAAGGAATTTTTATATTAAATTTGGTATAATTAAAAAGGTCTTGATATTAATTGTGCTTTTTTGGGGTTTTATATATTTTTCAGTGATAGTTACTTCTTGTGTTAAGTTTTTGGAGCAGTTTCGAATAGTTTGTTGATTCATAAATTTGTTTCGTCACATTTTCCATTAATTTATTTGTAATTAAATCTACCATAGCACTATTATTTTTTTTAATTTATAACAAAAAACGATAAGCCAAAAATTTTTTATTCATGATCCGTAAATCTCGGCAGTCACATGTATGTCACTATTATAGTGACTGCTGATTGCTAGTTTTATTATTTTGAGTTTTACTTGTATACCGTTATCTGGTTTTTACAAGGCTGATATCCCCACTCTTTTTTGGGGAATCAACTATATCTCCACTTTTTATTGCGGCTGTGGACCGACTTGTACTTTCTGTACCGTATTCACCCTGATCCTCACCACTCGGCTATTCGAACAGTAACATGGGAAAACCAAAGAGAAAACCAATGTTAGTACAGTCGGAGCTGGGTTAAGTCTACAGTGATTGATAAGAACTCTTCTTTATCGACCACTGGAGCATTAGACCCCTCTCCTAGTGTCCAGAGATCCCTCGCGCCAGCCAACGCCGACTAGAGTGGTCACCCATTCAAGTTGTTGCTTAAATGTGTGATCACCCAAGTCAGACGTGTGCCGCCCTGTCTGTTGTGTAGCATAATTGTAATTTGCTATTTTCTATCAATTTGTAATAGTCTCACAAATTTGATGTATATACATTAGAAATTAACTTTCTTTGTTGCTGTAAGATGGACAGCGGTGATTTAGGTCCAACTCACTTCCCCCCCCCCTTCCCGCGCTGTGGTAGTAGCCCTGGGACGGAGTAACAGTGGTGAGTAGCATAAAATAATTAAAAAAAAAAAAAAAAAAATTTGCTATTTTCTATCAATTTGTAATAGTCTCACAAATTTGATGTATATACATTAGAAATTAACTTTTTTTATATTGTGAAAGGATTGTGGAGAGGATCTTCTTAATGTGAATGTGTAGAATATGTGAGAAAAAATTATTAGATAGCTCGGACTGGGATTCGAACCCAGAACCTTCCGAAGACATGTCGGCTACTCTACCATTTGAGCTATCCGGTCTATACTAAATTTCCTTTCACTTATTCTATATACATTAAGCCACACCGTCCATCTTACGGCTAGCATTTTTAACAAATATAAATAATGCTGTGAAGCGGGAAAGAATAGGAGTTACACATTATATATGTATTGTAATAATTGTAGAACAATTGTTATATTACAAATATAAATAGCCGCCCGGCTATCTCTGCCACATCCAGAGGCTGGCAATGTAACGCACATATTTTTTTAATTATAATCACTGAAAAATAGTGGTGCGTGCTGGGATCGAATCCGGGTTCCACTCTTTCGAAAAGCGAGCACCGAGCCTACCAAGCTATTACCAGCCTGCTGATTGCTAGTAATAATAACAATAATAATGACGTTATTTTTATCGATAATTTTAATCACTACAATTCGGGAAACTTTTTTGCCCTTCCGTTAAATTTATAAATTAAAAATAAAAGTTGTAATATAAATTTATTGAAAAGTACATGAATAACTTAAAAAAAAAACATTAGAATCGAACCAAACTAAAAGTCGAACCCGGACCTCCACGATTGAGCGTCGAGAGCTCTACCAGTTAAGCCACCAAAATCTCAAAGATTATATTTTTGTACTTTTTGCTACTTTTTGCTACTTTTGCACTACAACTTCTATTTAATAATTACTAGAAATGTAAATAGCGCGCTACGCGCGCGCCTTAATTTCGACCAATAAGGAATCAGGTCCCATTTTTTTTGCGAGTTTCGACTATTGACTAACTTCACACTCTCGTGTATTCTTCTTGTAAGGATATTTACAGTAATTTATATTAATCTATCCCAACGTTGAGATAGTCCATCTTGAATAATGGTATTATTGTCAATTATTGGATTGCTCGGCAATAAGCTTATAATCAATTCAGCACGTTCATTAAAAAAATTGATAAGAATTAATCTCATTTAAATATTACTTTAAAAAAATTAATCATAAATTAATTATAATATAAACAATAACGAATACTGACAAATTTAAAAATAATTTGTATTGTGATTTTGCTGTTGGATAAAAAATTTTTACATTTTTTTTAGGTCATGTTTCAGATCAACCAACAAGATTAAAGATTCGGTATTTCAAGTCTGTCTATATACAAACTGATCTCGTTAACATACAAAATGTCGACTAAAAAGAGCAACAAATCCAGTAGATTTATCGGCAATCATCGGTGGTAATCCTATAGCTACTTAGCGTGAAATCTTATAATCGATAGTTTACTTAACCCAGTGCCACGTGCCGACACGTGTTATAAGCTCCATTAGAGGGAGATAGAGAAAGAGAGTAATATAAGTGAACGTACAAATACAAATATACCCCGCGGCAGTGCAGAAGAAAACATACATTGCATCGGAAAAGCTTGTGGAAGTAAGGAGCATCAATGAGATCTGAGATATCTATGTTAATATGCTCGTAGTGGAGTCTAGAGACTATTTGCGTACGCGCCACAAGAGTTTACCGATCAAAATATATGGTGATGTTCACTATAAGCTTGCAAGAAGGGTGCCATGTGGGGGTGATCCGGCAATTCGACACGCAGCTGGTATTCTTTAGGGTTCGTGTGAGTTTTTAACCCCCTGAATAGAAGTGAGTTTGTTTTCAAAATAGCAAGGGTCTGCGGTATATATTTGTATATTTATATTCATATATATATCATACGTTTAGTAGCACCTCGATCGAAGAAGATGCTTTTATAATCCATCCAACGACAAATTTTTGTTAGAAATATAATCGCTGTTCAATATTATTGACTGGAATCAAATCATCAAAAGTAGATATAAAGTTATATATAAAAATTTAGTAATTTCTGTGTGCGTAATTACGAAAAAAATTTTTTAAAAAAACAAAGTAATTAAGATGCAACGACTAATGGAAAAAAAATGATATTTGTTCGTCTTATCACAGTTTCGCCTCAAATGTGTTTCATTAAATAGATAATAATAAGAGCATAATTACCCATATCCCTCACAAACGAGCCTGTACTTTAATAATATAACTTTAGTTTACAAAAAATAGTTGTTCATACAACAGAAGAAAAATGATATTCAAGCTGCAACGTCAGATTTTCGTTAAATTGATTGCGTTCCTTATTATATGCAATAATTTAGTAAAAGGTGAGATAATTAGAGACTCTCACCAGCATTGCGCTAAGTTCACGGAAAATGTAAGCATTTATTTATGATCACATTCATAACGATACTTCTTTTTTTAATACACTGTTAAAAATTTTTGTAAAATTACAAATGTTTTACAAAACAAAATCTTAGGAAATTACAAATCAGTGTGTGCCAAATAGAATATACAATACAATTTGAGTAATCTACCAAAACATATCGATACTGCCATTCTAATACGACGTATCCCACATTTAGTAAATTTTATAGCAGACGGTAAAATTAGTTCATTTTTAACATTGATTAAATAGGATTCAATGGATGAATACAATTTCTATGTTAAAAATGGTCAACACAAAATTAGTGTTAAAATTCAACATACTTTGAGTTAAAATGACACAAATTTTTTGTTAAAATAACACAAAGAGTGTTTAATTTTAACACTAATTTTGTGTGGACCGTATTTAACACAATATTTTTTACGGTGTACTTCCAACGCATTTTTTGTAAAATTACCATAGAAATTTTTAACAGTATTATTTTTGATCAATGTAGCCGCAAATATCTTATCACGATCTGATATTTCTCATCAATTTCATTTTTCCTACAGTGTGATTCAAATCGCAAGTGTTGTAACTCAGATCATGTGTGCAAATCAATAGGAAGAGGAGCATTTCGCCTTGAAAAAAGATGTCTCAAGTCAAGTATAATACAAAATAGCAATCAATCTTTAAACAATCGCTAATTTTTAAAATATTATCTATTTTTTTCAAGATGAAATGTTATTTAATACTGCGGAAAATTAGTTTCAGTAACTCTGGGAGGATCCTGCAAATCGGCGTACGACTGCGATAAAATAAAATTTTCAAAATGTTCAGAAAATAATAAATGTGTATGTGAAGCAGGGTTCATTGCATTTGACAGTTCAACGTGCTCATCACCACGTAAGTTTTAATTGAATCTCCTCTTCGATAACATCAAGCTTTGAATTTTTAATTTTTTTATTCATGATGCAGAATTAAGTGGATCTTGTACTTCGGACAACGACTGCAACTATGTCATGCACGCAAAGTGCGGAGGCAATAATAAATGTGTATGCAGAGCGAATAATGTTGCTGTGAATGAAAGATGTTTGCCAATTGTGAACGGATTTTGTTGGAAAAATGAAACTTGTGCGACTAAAAACTCTATCTGCATTGATTCAACATGTCACTGTAATCCTGGATTCAAATTCTCACCTCAAATTAACGAGTGCCGTCAACGTAAGTTATGTCACAAAAAAAGTTACGATTTTCAAATCTGCTTGTGAAAAAATTTTCTGATATGATCATTTATAGTTAATTGTAACTATATTAGTGACTTACTCTTAACATGGTCATATTACACCATATTAGGACATATCAAGCCATCCATCGTCAATTTGAAAATCTGTCCGTACATGGGCATTTTAGGACATCAAAAACTATGTATGGATTATGCACATATAATTTTTGAAATTATACATTTCAGACAATATTAGAAAGTTCACCAGAAAATTTTTTCATGGATAATCAAATCTGCTTGATTATAGCTAATTAGAACCTACATGCTCCGATCTAATACACTTTTTTTTTGCTATTTGTATTAGCGTACATAGGAAAACCTTGTGAAGTCAACAGTGATTGCGATGAAATAGTAAATGGAGAATGTTCAAACGACAAACGATGTACTTGCAAAAAAAACTCGATAATTTTGGATGAATTTACGTGTGGCCCGAAATTGGGAGGAGCATGTTCTGATGACGAAGAATGTCTATCAGAAAATTCGAAATGTGAGGACAATATATGTGCATGCAAGACTGGATTTTCTGCCGTCAATACTTTTGACTGTTTAGTTGCAACCAAATTGGGAATGCCTTGTAACTCGAAAGCAAATTGCAAGCAACTATATAATTCGGACTGCATTCAAGGTCATTGTGTTTGTCCATCAAATACTTTTGCTATTAATCAAACTGCGTGCTTATCGCTGATAGGTGGAAGTTGCCTGAGTCATGACGACTGTCGACCTGCCTATTCAGTCTGTAATTCTAGCCGTTGTGAGTGTCAATTCGAATATGTGCCGGCTTCGAGTAATCAATGTATCTTTGGTAATATTCGGAAATAGGTGAGTACTAAATGAATTTTCAAGTGTTTATATAAAAACTTTTTTGTTACCAGGAAGCTCAGCTGTTGATTGTAGAAGCAATGCGGACTGTGGCGATCAAATGCGTAGAGAATGCAGCACTTACAATAAGTGCGTTTGTAAATCTAATTCAGTTGCACTAGGGACTTATGAATGTAAGTCTATTGTAGGTGGATATTGCGCTGAGGACACAGATTGTGCTATCATTAATTCAGTCTGCGTTAACAATACATGTCAATGCAAGTTTACATTAAAACCTATATCACACAATCTATGTCCCACAAATTACTAACGTAAATTATGGAAGTACGTATCTGACTTTTTTAATGTTTACACAACCAAAAAATAATTTAATTTTCCAATTTTGTATGAAAGAAATAATAAATTTTCATAATTTCAGAAACAAATCAGTCTATGTTCATCGATAATAATTTTATCTAGCAACCTTATCAAAAGTTGAATTTATAAATAAGAAATTTTAAATAGGAGGTTACTTAGTTACCGACAATTCCAGGTTTAATCAATCTACTAATAATGAAAGTTTGCATGTTATCCAATATATTACTGACTTTATTTGTCAAATACAATTGATTGATCAAACGAGGCCGCTGAAGGCGGCCGAAGTTTGATCTAAATTATCCAAGTGTCTCGCACGAGAGATTACGAAGGTAGCATCACTACTTTTATGTTTCAAACCACAAGTTCAGAGCCTAAAAATTTGATTTACGCGCGGCTACCGGCACCTGTGGCGCCACCGCACTTTATTTCTTGCACACTAACGCCTCTTTCATATGCCCTGGAAGTTAACGCATGCCTTGTAGAATGCGCGGTTAACTTCTTATCCACTCCAAATGATATAAGTGCTGTCCTTATCCAGCGACTTATGGTCTCACTTTGGACTGGACCATGAGGTTTATTAAATGAGATGAATAAAGTGTCCGTATTTTTTCTCAGCTTCTTAGTCACTTCCAGGTATTTAATTAGAGTCTTGGCGATACAAAGTTCTGGTTTTTCTATGAAGAAAGGAACTTTCAACAAGGGCTGAGGTACCCCTCGTCGACTTGTTTTAATTTTATCCGGTATTCGAATCTCGATTCTTGACTCCAAAATCTCAATATTAGCCACTTTAATTAAGGCAAGTGTCTGCGCTCTATGCGCAGTACCTAAAGCCAGGAGCACTATCAATTTGTATGAAAGATCTTTTAAGGATAAAGAATCCAATGGGAATAGTGAGGCTAATTTTTCCAAAACAGGATCCACGTCCCAGGTAGAATGATATTTTGGTAAGCTAGGACGCATTTTATACGTTCCTTTAATAAATCTAGTGACTAAGGCGTTGTTAGCAATATCTATACTCGATATCAACGAAAGAGCTCTTGCTGCATTGAGCGCACTGTGTCCAATTCCTTGCTCAAATCTTTCCGATAGAAATTTGAGGGTTTTGCTGACCGAAACTTCAAAGGGATCCTCCGAAGCCTGTTGATTCCATTGCCACCATAAATTTAAAGTCCCGTTATACTGCTTTAATGTTGAATCCTCCAAAGACGCAATTGTAATATCAATTGCTTCCTTTGGAGTTCCTCTTCTTAAAAGCGCCTGGCTGATAACTTGGCGACAACCAGCGTAAGCTTCGATGATAACGGGTGATGCTTCAACCTGCAAGGGGAAACAAGTAAATTAACATCTGGATTGAACCAAACCCAGTCGCCCACAGTCAATCTTTGGAAAGCAGGAAACCAATTTTGCGTGGGCCAAAAAGGTACCACTAAGATACCTTCAGCCCTGTCATCTCTTATTTTCTTAATTACTCGAGCAATCAGGGAAAAGGGAGGAAAGGCATAGAAAAACCACTGGGTCCAACTAATTGTCAAAGCATCGAATGCAAAAGCCTCGGGGTCTCTTCGCCATGAACAGTATAGCTGGCATTTAGAGTTTATGCGCGATGCAAAAAGATCAATCTCTATTGTCCCGAAACACCTCGTGATCTCATCAAATGCAGCATCAGCTAACTCCCACTCAGTGTCCGTATTATCAATACGAGACGAATAATCTGCCTCGCAGTTATCCTTTGAGGGTATGTAGGAGGCGTGTACCCACAGCCTTCGTTCCTCACACCAACTCCAAAGTTCACAGGCTAGATCATGCAAACCAGCAAACCGTACACCACCCATTCTATTAATGTAGGCCATGGTAGTTGTGTTGTCTACTTTGAGCAAAATTTCGACGTCCCGTAAGTCTGCTGCGAAACATTTCAGTGCTAAAAGCGCTGCTTTCAACTCTAGGTGGTTGATATGAAGACTTCTCTCTGTTTCGTCCCAGAGACCGTTAGCACTCTCACCCTCACAAAATGCTCCCCAACCTGACAATGAAGCGTCCGAAAAAATTGTCTTAATGAATTTATACTCTCTAATAGCCCGATTAGCTAGCGGTATGGCCCTCATCCACCAGTCCCAATCTCTCTGTACAAATCCTGGCATTGACATCATGGCATCGAATGACCCTTCATTACTATTTAAGGCCCGAACCTTAGCCCTCTCGAATAATCTACAATGCAATAACCCGTATTCGACTGCCGGACAACATGCTACCAATGATCCAACTAACTGAGCAAAATCTCGGATCTTGAATTTTTTCTTTTTCTTAAAGATTTTCATCTGGGACAATAGTAATAACTTCTTATTTTCAGGCAACTCAACTTTCATAGTGACTGAATCTAGTAAAAACCCCAGGTATTTGCATCTAGTTTTAGGAATCAAACATGATTTCTCATGATTAATAATAAACCCCAAACGATTGAGTAAATCAACTGCTTGTTTGATATTGTCTCTGCATTCCTCCATTAATCTACCAAGACATAAGAAGTCGTCTAAATACAACACCGATAAATAGCCACGCGACCGCAGATCATTTATAACAGGCTTTAAAAGCTTAGTGAACACAAATGGACTAGTACATAACCCGAAAGGAAGACATACAAGTTCGTATAATTGGCCATTAAAGATGAATCTTAGGTACTTTCGGTCTTTTTCAAAAATTCGTATCAAAAAATACGCGTCTTTCAGATCCACGGTACCCATAAAACAATCAGGTTCTAGTAAGTTACACGCCGATCGAAGGTCCTCCAGCTTGAAATGCTCCGTTTCTATGAAGGAATTAAGACGTTCCAACATTCACGTAACAGGATAATTGGTAGGAAAGGATTGAGAAAGGATTGTGGAGAGGATCATCTTAATGTGAGTGTATAGAATATGCGAGAAAAAATTATTAGATAGCTCGGACTAGGATAACATAACCTCAAACTCCGATATATTGAATGTTGTAAAGGGATATAAAATACCCTTTACAAGTAAAGTACGGCAATTTGTGCCTCCACCAGAACCTAGACTATCAGAAAATGATAGTCGCATTGCCGAGACAATGATTCAAGACCTTTTGGAGCGAGAGGTAATTTCCATATGTAAAAAAAAAGCAGGTCAGTTTATCTCATCATACTTTCTTATTGATAAACCCAACGGGGGAAAAAGGTTTATTTTAAATTTAAAAAATCTGAATCAATTTATCAATGCTCCACATTTTAAATTGGAGGATTTAAAAACGGTAAAACGTTTAATAACTAAGGGTTGCTTTATGGCAACTATTGATCTTAAAGATTCATATTATTTAGTCGCTATACATAAAAAATATCGAAAATATTTACGGTTTATGTTTAAGGGTATTCTATATGAATTTAATTGTCTACCGTTCGGGCTATGCACTGCTCCACAAGTATTTACAAAATTATTAAAACCAATAAGCCAATGGTTACGGGCACGAGGTACCATATCTGCAGTTTACATTGATGATAAACTTATTATTGCTCCATCTTATCAACAATGCCTGACTGACGTTAGCAATGCAAGAAAATTGTTAGAATCATTAGGATTTGTCTTAAATTTAGATAAATGTCAGTTAGAACCCAATACAAGAATAAGATTCTTAGGAGTGATCATAGACAGCTTACAATTATCATTCACCTTGCCTGACGAAAAGCTGGAGAGAATAAAAAAATTAGTTTCTCAGTATAGGGAAAAAAGATTCCGTAGAATCCGAGAGTTTGCACAATTTATTGGGACTCTAAGTTCAGCATGTGTAGCTATTGAGTATGGCAGATTATATACAAGATGTTTAGAGCGGGAAAAAATTTTTGCGCTAAAATCATCGCGAGGTAATTATTCGGGAAAGATGAAATTATCAGACGATATTAGACATGAATTAAATTGGTGGACTAAGTTAGAATCTAATTGTTCACGGAGCATCAGGGAATTTTGCTTTGTACTAGAGATTTATACAGATGCGTCGTTGACTGACTGGGGAGCCTTCTGCAATGACGAACGTGTCCATGGGTGGTGGACCCAGGATGACCAGAAATGTCAAATAAATCAGCTTGAGTTAAAAGCAGCCCTTTTGGGGTTGAAGTGTTTTGCTAAAAACTGTTTCGAAGTCGATATTTTGTTGCATATAGACAATACAACGGCTATAGCTTGCATTAATAAGATGGGAAGTGTTCAGTTCGCTAATTTACATAACGAGAACAAAATTTTCAAAAATCTGCTCTCGAAATTTTTCTTTTGGCGTCTTAAAAGAGTCTTAAAATAGTCTTAGTTTGTGTCACGTTTAAGATATTAAACGAACGATAATTTTAAGACAATTTTAAGACGATTTTTTTTTTTACACGGGTATGTCTTTAGCTATTATTTTTAACGTTTCTGGGAGGTAAACATCCTGACTATTTATAAATATAATTATGTCGACAATATAACATTAGTCGTTTGATAATAAATAGAAAAGAACCAAACCATGAAGCAGCTTTCGTTTTTAATATTTGTTATATATTTTATTATATTCATAATACTTAGTATCTTCTCATTAACACTTAGCGAAAGGGATTGTGCTCTACATCTAGAACATGTAAGTGTCAAATCTATAAATTACAATTTCGTATTTTAAATTATTTACACCCAAAGAAACAACCTGAAAAACTTTTCTCAATAGTGCAGCGCACTTTTTTCTAAACCATGCTGTTTTGAAGAACATTATTGCATTCCACTAGGATGGGGTGGATATCGTCGTGAATTAAGATGCGTGAAACCAGGTACACTTTCAATTATAATTAATGTGTCGAAAATAATTTTGACCTGCTATTTTTTGAGTTCTCAAGCAATGTTAGGCGAAACTTGTGTATCACCATTTGATTGCCACAAAGTCAATTTTGCGACGTGTTCAGAAAATAAAAAGTGCGAGTGTATTGAAAATTTTGTCGCAGATGGTAATTCAAAATGCTTATTATCCCCGGTCAATGATGATTGCATGAATGACGATGATTGCTTAGGTGATTTATCGTGTATTAATTCTCAATGCAAATGTCAAGTAAATTTTCAATTAACAGTCGATAATCAATGTATACAAAGTAAGTTTCTTCCCATGCAAGCTATGAAAAATAATGTAAGCCATTAGATCAAATTTCGATAACACTTTATTTTGACTCCAGATTTACTTAAGCATTTCTGTCAATCAGATCGAGATTGTGATAAGGTGCGTCATGCAAAATGCTCGAACACTAACAAATGCGTATGTCGATTGAAAAATATCCTAGTAAATTCCACAATCTGTATGCCAATGATTGGCGCATTTTGTTGGAAAGACGAACCTTGTGCTATCGAAAATTCTGCTTGCATCAATAGTACTTGTCAATGCAAACCAGGGTTTAAGTATTTTTCCGAAAACGATGTTTGTTTGAACGGTAAGTGTAGCCATTATTGGCAATTCAGTGCACCAACTTGAATAAGTGTGTATCTTCTTTAATGATTTTTATCAGAATATGTAGGGATGTCTTGTAAAGACCATCAAGACTGCAGAAGTCTACATTATACCGAGTGTTCATCATTCCATAAGTGTGTTTGTTTATTAACAGCAAAGAAAGTCAATGTTACAACATGTCTGTCGAGACTGAATAATTATTGCGCGCATGATAAGGACTGTGCCGATCCTCATTCAGTTTGCATTGCTAATAAATGTGAATGCAGGCTGAATTATATTAGTATCGATGATAATAAATGTGAATTAAGTAAGCGTACTGCTAAAATTTGTATATAATTCAAATATTGAATCGATTGTTCCTTTATAGTCACACTAGGAAAAAACTGTAAAGGTGATTCAGACTGTCAAAACTCATTTAGTGAAAGATGTTCCGCGGATGAAATTTGCGTTTGTAAACCACATCATGTTGCCGTAAACGAGTCGGTCTGTTGACCAGTCCTGAACGGAATTTGTTTTGATCAGAAAGACTGTGAAGTAAAAAATTCAGAATGTTCTTTTAGCCATTGTAGGTGCAAATCAGGTTTTGCACCCTTTTCACAGAATTTCTGCTTAGAAGGTAATAATCAATTTTCATCGATATGTAGTGATCTATATTGGTTGCTTCAAAATTTTTGGTATGTTTGAATAGAGGAATTGCTCCATTCATGCGGACCAAATAAAGGTTCTGAAACTTCAGGCAAAAACCAATGCTCCAAAAGTGGAAAATGCGTTTGCGGAAATAAGTCCTTTACTCAGAATCCATTGATGAAATTTGATTGTACGCCATTAATAGGCGGATTTTGTAACTACTCAAGTAAATGTAAAATCGATAATTCTATATGTACTGATAATAAATGTCAATGCAATCCCTCTTCTACTTTTGCAGCTGACAATTTATGTTTCTTTAAGGACTGATCATGAAATCCATGTTCTGGAAAGAAAATATTTAATTTGAACTATCATCAGAAACTTTCAAATGAATTTTAATAATTTTCAAAATAAAAGTTATAATAGAAATTGAAGTGTAGTTGTTTTTAATCCAGTTTAGTTTGATAGGTCTAATAAATTGAATTACATAACAAAATATTTTTATCTTTTTAACTTCCTAGTGACAAAATTAGGAATTATAATAAATCAGAAAGTTTGGATGGGATTATCGAAAATCGAAATGACATCAGATTTTGATGTTTTGATTTAAGAGGAAGCTTTCTAACTTTTTTCGCGATGACTTCCGCACGGCCCACATATGTGTGAGCTTGTGTATGTGTAAACATATCAAAATTTTTAAACTGCTCAACTGAAAAAATTTGAGAGGGTTTTGCTGTCCCAAGATTTCATGACCATAAAATTGATTCGATATATAGTTCTACTTATATAATTTGATATATCAAGAAATCTCAAAATGAAATTTTTTTTTTAAATTATCTTTTTAAATAATTTTGATTGCACTGTATATATCGATTGCAATAGAGATGCAATAGCAGATGCAATAGCAGATGTTGAATTTCAAATTAAAGAAAAAATATTGTACAGAATTGTCATTTTATTGACTTATTTTATATTAATCGATATATGATTTAAGTCAGTCTTGATGATATTACGTATCAATTTTTATCTTTTAACGAGCTAGCTTTTTAAAAATAACAACTTCAATTCGATTCTACAGCAATTACCTCAAAATAATCTTGAGTCTATCAAAATTTATTGAATATAAACCATAAGTTCGAAAAAAAAAAAATAACATCTTATGAAATATTTCATTTTTTACTGTGCATTGAGCTCGAGGAGCTAAAAAATTAACCAATTGGAAAATTTTCGAGCGTCCCAAAATCTAAAAACCGGTAAGTTCTAGGGATAACCTGCAGAATCGAAAGTTTTTTTTATTTTTATTTATTGATTTCGAAACTGTCCTTCTAAAATATTAGCATTAATATTTTCAGTTGAGTCAACCGATAAAAAATGGTAGTCAAACCGAAAAAAATCTGTTAACGAAACTTAATTTTTTTTTGTGTGTCATAAACATAAACCGTTTTAGAAATGACTATATTTGTAATTTTTGTTAACAAATTCATACTGTTATTTGAATCATTATGTGTATTAGCCCAACTAATGTGCCCAATTTCATTGATCGATGTGTACCTGCTATGAATAGTTGATTAGGAAAGGCTAAGTAATTGATAAAAACCTAAAATTTACGTTGTTTTTGAGAACAAACGGCAGTTAAATGTAAAGAATTCCAAACCTATAGATATTCGATCTTCTAATAAAAATTAAGTTTTGATGATATACTTATTTGTGAGTTCAATATCATTCCATTTAAGTCGACGAAGTGTTTGCTATTGATAGATGAGTACTGTACTGAAAATTCTGACTGTGAAATAAAAGATTTGTTTACATTATAAACAAATGTCAGTGTCAAATATCGTCTAAAGCCGTTTGCAAAAATCAATGCTCTTTTACCAGTAACTTTTAGAGATGATTCAATGATGTTACAATTGATTTTTCCAAATATATAGTTACTACTTTTAATCATCTTTCATTGATGCAAAAATTTAATTCCAAAATTTAGACAACAAATTTCGCTTAAATTTTAATTAATGAAATCAAAAATTTAGATCGATTTTTGTTCTATTAATGCTACATTGTAAAAAAAAAATTTGGGATCTATCATCAAATCAATTCAATCCCTATTTCAACAAAAAATTTATTCTTGAATTGTATTTGCCATAATGTTAAAAATTTATTAAACCCACGCGGTTCTAATTTTTAGAAAATCTTAACTGAGTGAGTATTTTTAATTCTTAGGAAGTATAAAATATGATAAAAAACTAATCATTTAATCCAATTATTCGACACATTGATAATTTTTATTGGAATTAAACTTCTATAAATTCTTTCGATTCGATCATAATATGACATTATTGTTTCAATCAAACTTCATGATAAATGTTTCTTATTCGATCTAAATTCTGTGAATCTAATTTGGAGTTTTCAATTTTTAATTAAAGATAAGTATACCGATAACTAATTCTATTTTAGTTGTCGAAATCTGCCGACAATATAAAATTAGTAGTTTGATGAGAAATAAAAAAAAACCAAACCATGAAGCAGCTTTCGTTTTTAATATTTGTTATATATTTTATTATATTCATAATACTTAGTATCTTCTCATTAACACTAAGCGAAAGGGATTGTGCTCTACATCTAGAACATGTAAGTGTCAAATCTATAAATTACAATTTCGTATTTTAAATTATTTACACCCAAAGAAACAACCTGAAAAACTTTTCTCAATAGTGCAGCGCACTTTTTTCTAAACCATGCTGTTTTGAAGAACATTATTGCATTCCACTAGGATGGGGTGGATATCGTCGTGAATTAAGATGCGTGAAACCAGGTACACTTTCAATTATAATTAATGTGTCGAAAATAATTTTAACCTGCTATTTTTTGAGTTCTCAAGCAATGTTAGGCGAAACTTGTGTATCACCATTTGATTGCCACAAAGTCAATTTTGCGACGTGTTCAGAAAATAAAAAGTGCGAGTGTATCGAAAATTTTGTCGCAGATGGTAATTCAAAATGCTTATTATCTCCGGTCAATGATGATTGCATGAATGACGATGATTGCTTAGGTGAGTTATCGTGTATTAATTCTCAATGCAAATGTCAAGTAAATTTTCAATTAACAGTCGATAATCAATGTATAGAAAGTAAGTTTCTTCCCATGCATGCTATGAAAAATAATGTAAGCCACTAGATCAAATTTCGATAACATTTTATTTTGACCCCAGATTTTCTCAAGTTTTTCTGTCAATCGGATCGAGATTGTGATAAGGTGCGTCATGCAAAATGCTCGAACACTAACAAATGCGTATGTCGATTGAAAAATATCCTAGTAAATTCCACAATCTGTATGCCAATGATTGGCGCATTTTGTTGGAAAGACGAACCTTGTGCTATCGAAAATTCTGCTTGCATCAATAGTACTTGTCAATGCAAACCAGGGTTTAAGTATTTTTCCGAAAACGATGTTTGTTTGAACGGTAAGTGTAGCCATTATTGGCAATTCAGTGCACCAACTTGAATAAGTGTGTATCTTCTTTAATGATTTTTATCAGAATATGTAGGGATGTCTTGTAAAGACCATCAAGACTGCAGAAGTCTACATTATACCGAGTGTTCATCATTCCATAAGTGTGTTTGTTTATTAACAGCAAAGAAAGTCAATGTTACAACATGTCTGTCGAGACTGAATAATTATTGCGCGCATGATAAGGACTGTGCCGATCCTCATTCAGTTTGCATTGCTAATAAATGTGAATGCAGGCTGAATTATATTAGTATCGATGATAATAAATGTGAATTAAGTAAGTAGCCGTAGAAAAATTTTGTGAGATGGTTATTTATTTCTATATAATTTTTTAACTAAACGTTGTATCGAAAATCTCCGATAGAAGGCACATGATCACTAAATCGTCCCCTAACAAGAGAGTTAAGTTCTAGAACATAGATCTGTATTTTTTATTTTTTGCAAGGGCTTATCTAATATAGATTGTAAATCTTCTCAATTATTATACTAAATGTTATTGGCTACGATATTCTCATTGGCGTATTCATTTTAAAAAATTATAAAAAAGTGTAATGAGTTATTGTTTTACTCTTATATATATTGGGATAAATTATCATATCAACCTATATAAAGCCATAAGAAAAATTTTTACAGATAGTGAATATCATTATAGTTTGAAAATAATATGGAAATTCAATCGTTTGTTTTCTTATAGTAACATTTGGAAGAAAATGTGAAGGTGATTCCGATTGTCGAGACCCATTCAGTGAATTATGTTCCGCAAATCAAATTTGCGTCTGTAAACCACATCATATTGCAGTATTTGAAGCCATTTGTAAGCCCGTCCTGAACGGAATTTGTTTTAGTCAGGAAGACTGTGAAGTAAAAAATTCTGAATGTTCTTTTGGTTATTGTCAGTGCAAATCAGGGTTTGCACCTTTATCACAGAATTTATGCTTAAAAGGTAATAATCAATTTTCATCTATATGCAGTGATCTATATTGCTTGCTTAAAAATTTTTGGTATTTTTTAATAGAGGAATTACTTGATTCATGTGGACCAGATAAAAGTTGTGAAACTTCAGGCAAGAAGCAATGCTTCGAAAGTAGAAAATGCATTTGCGAAAATAAGTCCTTTACTCAGAATCCATCGATGAAATCTGACTGTACGCCGTTAATAGGCGGATTTTGTTACGACTCAAATGAATGTAAAATCGGCAATTCTAAATGTATTGATAATAAATGTCAATGCAATCCCTCTTCTACTTTTGCAGCTGACAATTTATGTATCCTTAAGAACTCATCATAAAATCCATGATCTGGAAAAAAAAATATTTAATTCGATTTATTATTAGTAACTTTGAATGAGGAATTTAATGATTGTCAAAACAAAGATTGTAATGAAAATTGAAGCTTAGTAGTCTTCATTCTGATTAAATTTTATACTGAAAGAAATTTTCTTTAAAAATTCCCGTTAAATTCACAGTAATCGTGGAACGAATGATACGATCTGATCATTTGTCAGTAAGTGAGATAATTTTTAACTTTTTTTCAACAAATTTTACCGTAGTCTACGGTAAATTTTATTGGTTTTTCGATAAATTTTTTGAAGTCTACCACAAAATAAATGAATTTTTTCGTAATTTCTATTTCAAAAATGGTAATAAATAAAAGGGCCGCCTTGTGCCCTACGATTACAATGAATTTAATGGTAATTTTTAATGAAAATTTCTTTGAAGAAATTCAAAATTGGTATTTTTATTTCCAATTTTTAAAAATTGAATTTTTATCAGATTTCAATGTCTAGATGTCTTAGAAAGCTTTCTTAACCACTCCCTTAATGATTTTCGTGTGAAATTTCACAATCAAATTTTTTGAAAAAACGTTTCTTTAAATTAATTTTTAATGTAATGTAAGATAAAAGTCCCTATTATGAGACACTTTTCAAGGTAGGTTGAACATTCCTGCGAGTAATTAATCCATTTAAGAAAAAAATACACTTTTAATCGCTTTATACGATAATTTGATGATCATTAAATCAATATTTATATTGTTTTTATAGTTTTTTTGGTCAAAAATTAATTAAATTATGGTTTTTTTGGGGAAGCTACATGACCCTATTTATGAGACACTTTAAAGTCACATGTCCCAGTGTCTCGAACCACAGGACCCTATTTTTGAGACAGTTAAAAAATCAGCAAAGTTGATCAAATTTTATATATTTATCAATTTTAGACAATCGTATTTACAAAAGAAGGAATTACTTTTATTTTTAATTAACTTATAAAAAATTTTTTATCAGTTAAACAATTAATCAACGCAAATTATTGAATTAAATCTATTGTTCTTTCTTGATTTTTTTTGTCATTCCTTGATTTGAGCCATTAATTTTTTTTTCTTCTTGTAATATTTTTTTATTGTTAAATTTTTCTTCTTTCATGTTTTTTCTGGATCTAAATTTTTTTTTATAAGTTCTGAAAAAAAGTCACATTAAGTTAAATTTATTGAACATGAATGTGAGGTTGACATTTACATACCTAATTGATGAACTTTGTTGTTTATAAGATTTGTAGAATTAATATTTGTGAGCTCTGTTATAATCTCTCTGGGTTTTGCAGATATAAATATGTATCATCAGTAGAGATAGTTTGATCAATTAGTTTGTCTTCACTGAAGTCTTTAGAAGTGCACTGTATTACGTTATTGCTATCAATTGATGATTCTTGAAGACTAACTTGATTAGATTCATATGTAACCGTAAAAAATTGTTCATCATTAATTAAATTATTTTGTTCACAGTTTATCACATTAAAATGATTGTCTAAGACAGTAACGGATTGTTATACGTCTTCAATAATTCAGTTTTTGTCACATGTGACCCTATTACTGCTCTGTACAACACCCACTGAACAATAACATCCTCTTCTTTTAAAGATAACACTGTCACTGGCCCAGTTCTAATTTTTGCCTTCTTAGGACTAATACTTTTTCATTTAGCAAGGGTAACAATCGGTACTCCATAAACAGCAGCTGCTTTTCTCAAGGACAACTCTGTGTCTTCCATTGCTTTTAGAGCTTTTTTTATATTTCACGAATTATAATTACTTAATCCTTTTAATTTTTTTTTCCTTCATTTTATTATTCATATTGGAACACAACACTTTTTTTTTTTTTGGTTGAATTTGATGATTGAGTTTTTGTCACTTTGGAATTTTGTTTATGCTTCATTATCTCAGCTTTTTTTTATAATTTACTTTTTACTTACTCTGAAATAATAAGAAATAAATAATATATTTTCAGAATCAATATACAAAAAAATATTATAAATTTATCCAAAAGATTTAATTAAAAAACAGAAAAACTTGTTGACAAAGTTATTCTATGTTATGATTTGAGGTTAGGCTCATGATCTAAAACTATTTGACTTAAAATACTTACTTTTAGAAAAATATTTGAGGTTTAATAGTAGCCAATATTTTATAACATATAATTATACTATTTTTATAATTAATATCACATATTAGCAATATAAAATCTTATAAATGTACACTGTCTCACTTAATCGGGAGAAGCCGAAAAACATATGTCCGTATTACACTATACACCGAGAAAAGTGTCTCATAAACCGGGGCATTCACGTAAATAAGTGTAGGTATTGTGAGACACTCATATTTAAAATATTGTAATAAAAAAAACGCATAAATGTGTATAGAAATAAAGTTTATTACTCATCAGCTTTCAATTGATATACAATTTAATATAAAAGTAGAAGACACAATGAAATTACACTAATATAAAAAACTAGGTAGCCGTTGTCGTTTTACTATTCTCGGTCGTGGCTTTGAGCACAGATAACAAACCTCGCACTTTAATAAATATTTTTAAAAAACAGTATGGAATTAATTAACAACCAAAGTCGAAAATTGCTTTTGGAATAGATGAAATAATATATTTATTATACTTTTGGTATGCTAGCGGTGTGTTTTTTTTTTTTATAAAATAGTATTTTTATGTAGTGTATCATAAATGGGGACATCGTCTCATAATAGGGACTTTTACCTTATTGTGCTGATTGAATGTAATTATATGAAATTAAATAATAAAAATAAACTTTATGTACAGAATTATCAATTAATTGAAATATTTTATTTCAAAAAATATATCTTTTATTGTCGGACTACAATACTACGTATATCAGTGTTTTATTTTTTGACGCTATAGCCGTCTAATTATAGCTCCTTAACAATACATTTTTAATCCTCATAAAAGTTTATACATTTTTTGAGCAAGATTCGATCTGATTAGACAGTAATTGCCTGAAAATACTTGAAGTTAATAAAATTTATTGTGTGTGAATGATTTTAGTATTATGTAATGCACTAAAAAAATAATGTTTAGATAATCAATGTTTAATATTATTGAACAGCAATCAAATCGTCGAATGTCGGTATAAAGTAATATAAAAATTAAGTGATTTCTCTGTCTATAATGACAGTAACAATTAAAAAAAAAAAAAAAAAAACTTATGACACAAAGATTAATTGAAAAAACAAAATTTTTTTATTCTTATCGCACTTATACTTCAAATGTCACTCATTAAATTAATTATAATTACAGCATAATTGCTCGTATACGTCAGAAACGATCGGTATTAATACTTTTTAGTTGACTTAAAATTGATGACCTTACATCAGTTTTAAGGTATCAGTAAGTGATATAATAGAAAAAAGATGATAGCCAAGCTTCGACGTTCAAGCCTCACTGAATTGGTTGCATTAACTATTATATGCCACAAGTTATGAAAATTTTTTGACCTATTTTGATGTTTTTTTCCGTTTCTATTGCACTAAATCAATTTTTAGAAAGTATAGAATTAATCTCCATTAAATTATCTCGACAATAGTATGCAAAATATCTTGATTCCGTGAACTAACAAGGCTATAATACTAAAAATAGTTGCCAAAATGAGATGAAAAAAATTTTTCGATCGTAAAGCACTCTCTGATGCTTCGCATCATGCGTCATGCAAAAATTTATTGTAATTAGACGATACGGTTTCAAGCTACAGTTTTGTATTCCTTGTATTCGCAAATACATAATGAATTATTTAAAAAAAAAGAGTGTAAAAATAGATTTTTATTACAGTTATAGTGTTTATCCCAACAGTATTTTGTAAAAATGTACATTACGAGCGCTTAATAACCACTTTTTTACGTAATTATGTAAAAATAGTGATTAAAAAAAATTTTTAAATGATCAGGGATTATTTTTTTATCTGACAGTGTACTTTTTGTAGCATTTATATGCATATTATGTCTATCAATTAAAAATTATTGTGACAAAACACGGGATTTTAATTTTTAGGCGAGAGTAGAGCATGCCTACGCTCACGCTCAAGGCATGTAAAAGTTAGGTAAAAACCAAATGTGGATGCCTTAAGCGTACAAGTCATACATATGTTATTTGAATTTTTTTAATTTCCCGCGCATTATTTATGACGCGAATAAAACGCCCTCTCGTATTCCGTTATATCAACTACTTACAAGTCGACACGCATACATACGTTGGCTCGGTTGCAGAGTTACTGTGAGATCTCTGTTTACTAAAAAATAAAACACATGGCCGACCAAAATGGGAAAATTCGATGTGAATGTTAATCAAAATGTTTTAATTACAACTAAACGAAGCAATGTCAAGTTTTAATATTGCATAGAATTCTTCATTAAAGATTAATGACAAGGCTGAAAAAAATGAGTTCTAAAATTGTATATCGATACTGCCATTTTAATGCGTCGTATCCCACAAAATTTGAAAAATTGTCGTTTTTTGAAAAATGGAATCATAAAAATATTATGCAAGTCATATTAAAATTTTAAATGTCAAATAGTTTGATAACTATTTTTAAATAAATATTTTCATTTGTCGAATCCCATTTAATCAATGTTAAAAATGAGTCGTTTACTAAAGTTTTAAATAACGGGTTTTTTCACTAAAATTGATAATTAATTTACTAAGCAGTATTTTTAATTAGTTCAGTAATCATTCTTCTTGCCACCAGTGTATTTCTTTTAACTTTTATACGAAGATTATGGATTAAAAATATAATTTCTCTTGACGAGATAGGAAACATGATTTTTAGGCCCCAGAAGAGCTATGCCTTAGCGCGTTTGCGCTTAGGATCTTAATCTTGATCTTAGAATCGATATGTTGCATACTATTGTAATGATAATGTTATAAAGATAAATTACATACTTCTCAAAAATTTATTAAGTGCAAAAGAACCGGAAAAAAATATCAAAATAATTAAAAAAATGTTCCTGTCCGTCAGGTATGAAACCCTGAAAACACTGTAACTTGTAAAAAAATCTAGTAATTGAGTCAAATTTTTTTTAATTCTTTGAAAAAATTGTAGGTAACTCAGTGTCAATTATTTGCAATTAATAGTATAAAAAAAAAACAAATGACTGTATATCTATATGTATTGTGTACATTTATTCCACTAGGGGCACCTGCTCATCATTGTCCTATTTCAGCTGTTTTATATGTATTATTATCATTTCATAATTAAATGAGCATTATATCGTGCACTTTTGGAATTTCGAAATTTTTTTAATTTCGTACTGAAAAAATAATAAATTTTTATAATTTCAGAATCAGAACAGTCAACGATAATCGGAAATGATTTTTCCTAGTATGAAATAATTACTTCTTCAAAAGTTGAATTTATCAATAAGAAATTTCAAATAGGATATTACTAAGTTCCAAACAATTCCAAATTCTATTAATCTGCAAATAATGAAATTTTTCATATTATCCAATATCGCACTGACTTAATTATTTTTTGTCAAATACAATAACGATAATAATTGACTCTTTTTGTTTTACTTTCGTGACTTTTTACCAGTCCACCTTTCTCTTCCTTTTTGTTGTTTCAAAATTATATCAGATTAAAAATATAATCTCTCAACACTTGCAACGTAGTCTTTTAACCTCGCTAAATTGACATGGATATATGTTCTTACAATAACTTTTACTACTTTACTACTTTTACTACTTTTACTATATATTTAGTAACATCTCAATCAAAAAAGATGCTTCTATAGTTCATCAAACGATAAACTTTCGTCAAAAACATTATCGATAAGTAATATTATTGAACTAGAATCAAATAAATGAGAGTAAATATCAAGTTATAAAAAATGTGGTGGTTTCTCTATCTATAATGACAATAAAAATAAAAATAATAAAAAAAAAATAGAACAATTACGACAGAAAGACTAATTGACAAAGAAATTATTTTTCAATATTATTACAGTTTTATATTTAGTCTTTTCCAAATAGATAATAATCGTCCGTATACTTCATAAAAAAGTTGATTGTAGAAAATTTTTGGTTAACTCAAGATTAAAAGTAAGACTACTTTAGTTTCAAAACAATAGTGTTCGATAACAACAGAAGAAAGATGATAATCAAGCTTCAACGTCAGAATTTCGCTAAATTCGTTGCGTTGATTATCATATGCATCAATTTAATTGAAGGCCAGACAAGTAAAGACTCTCGGTCGCTTTGCGCTGAGTTCGAGGAAAAGGTAAGCATTTATTTATAATTGTATTCATGAAGATATTTCTCTATTTTAGTACTTTAGATCAATGTAATCTCAAATATCTAATCGCGATATGATAAATTTTATCGCGTTCATTTTTTGTACAGTGCTATTTTGATCGACGGTGTTGTAACCCAGATTATGTGTGCAAGCCAATGAAAAGGGGATCAAATGTTCTTGAAAAAAGATGTCTCAAACCAGGTATAATAAAAATATTAATCAATCTTCAAACAATCACTCGTTTTTAATATATTAACTATTTATCAAGAATGCTATTCAATACTGCGAAAAAGTAATTACCGTATCTCTAAACGGATAATTTAAAAGAAAGTACGAATAACATTTCTGCACTCTTGGAGCTCAAAAATTGTAGGGGTGTAAACAGTTATAAATATTTAAAGTAATGACAAATTTCTGTTTGTCTGTTGTAAAGCATTTTTTGAGAGTTTTAAACTGCGATATTTTTTGGTTGAATGCGAATAAAGAAATTTTGATGCAATTTTAAATTATCGGTTAAGTAGTTTGAAAGTTATGCGATAATAAAAAAATTTTCTTAAAAAGCCTTACTTTTCAAATTCCTCCAAATTTATCAATTCAAACGAGTTTGAATTTTCAGTAGATCTGAAGGCTAAAGAACTTTTCAGAATGTCACAATGTTTCACGCAGAAAAATTTTTTGTCAGAGCAACAAAAACGTTTTGACAACAAATTGTTATGTTGATATAGGGATAACAAATAATATGTTGTGTTATCAAACCCATAGGTTATAATAAGTAATTCATATGTTCACTCAACAAAATTATTTTGTTATTGTAACCGAATCTTTCAAATATTTAAAAAAAATAGTTTTGTTGAAGTAACAAATCGATTTGTTAAAGCAACGGAATAGCTTGTTTAAGTAACAAATTTTATTGTTAAGAAAACTATTTTGTTATGGTAACAAAAAAATTTATTATAATAACAAAGCGATTTTGTTAAGACAACAAAATTAACTTCAGAGCAGTAAAAACTCATTTGTTATTGCAACTTAGTTGATCTTGTTAAATAAACTAGTTGATTTGTTATTGTACACGCAAAAAAAAAAATTGGGGCTGCCACATGATTTTCATATGAATGCCACATGATTTTCCTGTGGCAGCCACATGATTTTTTCCATATAGCTGCCATATGATTTTCCTGTGACAGCAGCATGACTTTCATGAAGCAGGCAATAATATTTAAAACAGCAATAATAATTATCATAATAATAATAATAATCTATATTATTAAGAGAATAAGAAAAATTTTGTGGCCAGTGCATTTATATGATAAAATGGGTTTTTATGGTTGAGTTTGGTATCATTAGAAAGGTCTTGATCAGTACCCACATGTATTTTTGATATATATTTTTCATACATACATATATATAATATATATAAATATATGAAAAGTTGATGTGGGTACTCAAATGAAAGGTCTCGATAAGTGTAATGTTTTAGTGAGCTTGTATCATTAAAAATGGCAATAGTTCACCAGATACGAGGTAATTTCTTGATTATGTATCTAGAGATAGAGCATTTTCGAATGCAGCCTTAATTCCTATCATAATAAACACTATTCTCTCTAAATCTGAAACAGTGAAAATCACTGGAAATTAGTGGTATATTCACTATTTCACAGTTATAAGTATACCACTTGGTATACTTATAGCTGTGAAACAGTGAAATTCCACTGATTCATTTTAAGAGAGTTGACTATTGGTGAGAATGATATGAAACCTTGAAAAGGCACAACTCCAGATCAAGACCTTTCTAATGATACCAAACTCAACCATAAAAACCCATTTTATCATATAAATGCACTGGCCACAAAATTTTTCTTATTCTCTTAATAATATAGATTATTATTATTATTATGATAATTATTATTGCTGTTTTAAATATTATTGCCTGCCTCATGAAAGTTATGCTGCTGTCACAGGAAAATCATGTGGCAGCTATATGGAAAAAATCATGTGGCTGCCACAGGAATGTATCATGTGGCAGCCCCAATTTTTTTTTTTGCGTGTAAGTAAATTCATTTGTTATCACAGCATATTTTTTTGTTATCCCTATTTTTGTTGTCCTAACAAATAATTCATGCGTGTTGTTTCGACATCATCGAAGAACAAGTCAAAGTAGCTTCCAAAAATCTAGGTGAAATCAATATTTTTTAAATTTGTGAAAATTATTGATTATAATAAAAAAAAAAAAAAATTTGATAAATTTTTACTTCTTGCGATTTTCTAAACTATTTAGGGCTGTTGGGAGATGCCTGCGAATCATCTTTTGACTGTCATAATGTAGTCTTTACAATGTGTACAAAAGAAAATAAGTGCGAGTGTCAATCACATTTCATCGCAGTTAACAATTCAAGATGCATGTCACCGTTGAACGAATTTTGTCTGAGCGATAGTGATTGTTTAACTGACAATTCTACGTGCAATGATTCTCAATGTAAATGCAAATTCGATTTTCGACCAACATTATCTAACAAATGTGAACCAAGTAAGTATCTTTCATAATTGATAGCGTTATAAATTGGTTTAGCACTTACAACTTCCTTTCTATTTTTTGCAGAGAAGTTGTTGAAATTTTGTAGAAATAATGAGGACTGTGCTGATATAATCCATGCAAAATGTTCTATAGACAACGAATGTGTGTGTAGAGAAAATAATGTTGCAGTAAATGATTCAGTTTGCTTACCAGCAATGAATTCATTCTGTTGGAACAATGAACCATGTGCAGTCGAAAACTCTGATTGCATTGATAGTGAATGTAAATGTAGACTTGGATTCAAAAATATCCATAATAAACTTTGTATCAAGAGTAAGCTTAACTGCGGTCACACTGAAAAAAAAAAAAAAAAATTAACTTAAATCAAGAGAAAAATTCTTGAACCAAAAAAATAATTTTGAAGAGTTTCATTGTCTTGAATCAAGAAGAAAAATTTTTGAATCAAGTAAAATTGACTTAAACCTAAAAAATTCTTAGTTAAAGAATTTTTTTTACTCAAATCAAGAATATGAAGTTCTTCAAAATTATTTAATTGATTCAAGTTAATTTTTTTTCTGTCCAAATATATTCAAGTGTATTTTATGATGATTAATGATCTTGTTTTAGCATACTTAGAAATGCCGTGTAAACATGACATAGATTGCGTTGACATGAAAAATTCAGAATGTTATATGAAAAAGTTTTGTCACTGCACAGAAAATTCTATAAAATTGAACGAGACATTTTGTGCACCACTTTTGGGCGGCTATTGCTCTAATGATCGACAATGTGTACCCGATAATTCTCTTTGTGTTGATAATTTGTGTCAATGCAAAACAAATTTCGCTCCTATCGCTCATTATAAGTGTATATTTGGTAAGAAATCATTCTTTAATTAATTTCATTCTTCAAGCTCCGTTAATAATTATCAAACCATGCTCTTGTTATCAGTTCCTTTAGGACGGTACTGTAGAGCTGATTCCGAATGTATAGATAAGAAACACAGAGAATGCTCTCGTGATAATAAGTGCGTTTGTAAACCCAATCACATATCTGTGAACGAATCAACATGCCTACCAGTTCTTGATGGATTCTGTATTACTGACGATGACTGTCAGCCTGAGAATTCATTTTGTTCCAACTATTATTGCCGATGTAAACCCGATTTTTTGGCTATATCTGGCGACCTATGTGTATTAAGTAAAATGAAAATTCAATTTTTCTTGATAACCAAGAAATAATTTGTCTGTAATAACTCGGTATTTTTCTGTATTAGACGATTTAGCCATCACTTGCAATTATCTTAACGATTGTAATAGCTTTGGAGATTATGCAATATGTTCATCGAAAAATCAATGTGAATGCATGCCTAATACCAAACTATACCATGATGTTTGCTTGGCAATTATCGATGGAAGTTGTAAGAGCAATAAAGATTGTATCGTTCAACATTCTAAATGTACCAATGGCAAATGTGTATGCAAATCGAATTTTTTGGTATCTTCCAAATACAATTGTCAAACATGTAAGTAAATATTTAAGCAGTCAAAAATTTATGATAATAATGACCGCTCATTTTTAATGGTAATCATCTTATTAATTTATGATATAGATAAAAATTTTTTTTTCTTTATACCTCGGTCGAAAGGACGGATCTCCGGCATTAATTTTAGAGCTATTAAGCCGAAAGTTTATGATTTGTGCATTGATATAACTACGAACACGTCATTTGTTACAGCGGGAGCAAAAATTTTTTGTACACACCAATAAGTGAAACTGCCGTGACTGTCACCGTTTATATACTATAGTCACTCGAGTCACTCGATGGTTTCATTTTTATCCTTACATATAACCTCAAATATGCTTGTTGAGAATTGTCCAATATTTTTATTCTAGCAAATAACTTATGATAATATATTATTTCAATTTAATTAAAAATATAAAAATATGCAATAAGCTGTGACATCAATAATGAGGGTGTAATTGCATACAAATAATCACTCGATAATTTTTAAATGAATAATAAAGTAATCTTTGTAAGAAAATTCTAAAAAATTGGACAGAAATAATATTTTTAATGAGCATTTTGTTAAATTTAATATTTTTGATAAAGCAGGAATTTCATAATTTCTGCCTATGGAGTGTAATATACATTTTTTAAGATAAAGTAATTTTAATTTAAAAAAAAAATTTTCTTCTCCGTATAAAAAAATTCAAATTTTTGAAAAATTAAATTTTTATTGCAGTGTTACACTCTTAAAACATTACAATTTTTAAAATGTAATCGAGTGTTTATAATATTTTTAATTCAAGGTGGTAATTGTAATGAATAATTTATTGATAGTAATGGTTATCAACTTCATTTTCCATCCGCGATGGTAACCATTACTATCTTATGTTACCATGTGCACATAAAAAATCCAGTAGCGAATTTTATCAACTCAAATGATCACCCAATATTTTAGACTTAAATTTGTGTTCTATAATATGATCTTATTTTTAAGATATCATTTTTATAATACGATTATTGTTTCAGATCCCCCCAGTGCTGGAATGAACGACAAAAATTTATATCTTTGATGTATTATTTGATTTTCATACATACACTCATATTAACATCGGTTTTATACCATGTAAAAAAAAATTATGCTTAAAAGTAATAATTAACAATTCAATTCAATTTTTAATATAAAATTTTTTTTTATTCACGTGTATTAAACCAAAACATAAATTCTAATTTTATATGAGCAAAATTCACTACTGAAAGTTTTTTATTCTCAGAATATTTTTTAAATGGTAAAAATTTTTTTCAGTTTTATTCAGCGCCATTTGAAATATTTGAGCATCGATACTTTTTTAAAAAATTTTTAAGCTTATAATATGCTAGCAAAGCGATCAGCAGAAAAAAATTTCTACACCCGTTTGACTTTTGTTACGCGATTTAATAATATTTTTTTTTTATCAAATCTAAATTTGTATCCTTACTTTGTGATTAATGATGCAACACAAGTTGAGATATAATTTATATATTAAATAATTTTGTAGTAATTTTTCATATTAATATTATCAAGCTTCTACTTCTAAACACCCAATGATCTGTGGATATTTGAAATAATAAATTGATTCTATTTTGACTTGGAAAAAACGACAATGGAAACCCTGAATCCGAACACTCAAGAGACAGAAAATTCGGTTTATAAATCTTTGGACAGTGATAATATGATTGCAATGATTGTTCAGAATGATTAATGATTAATGGAGCATCTCCAACTATCGCCAGAAAAACAGAAACAGAGGAAGGGCCAGAACCAGAAAATCTACGGCCCCCCAGAGAGTGTCCCTTAGTTTAGATTTCACCTCTGCTCGACAGAATAGAATAAGGAGGAGACCCGGTATATATAGAAGCCAGCACAGCTTCTTGTCCTGGATGTAAATGTTGCTGGTGAGATAATCCAATAGCCCTAAGGCGTGTTTCGAGGTATATTCCCATTTAATATGCATGTCGGACAGCGTAAACTCAATACAAGTGTGAGCTAAAGGCATCCGGTCTTGCAAATGAAAGCTTCAGCTTCCGCGAGAGTTGAGGATTTACGCAGACGACTTTAAACGAATTCCCTGGGGCTCTTCCTGGTTCTGCTGCGATTAAGCTATTTGCTACGTCGTCTTGTCGATCGTAAAGCCACCACCAACCCATTGTATTATCTTATTGTGGTTATATTGACGTTTTCCCGTTAACTGTAATATCTCTAACTGGGATGCTGATTTACAAATATAAAACTAACTTTCAATTCCTTTTTTGTTATTGTTTTTTGTTTTGTAGTATGTTATTACTGCTACAACTCGTAAATTTTAGTCGTAAATGAGATTATATTTTTAAATGGATTTATATTTGTACCCTGAGAGACATATTTATTTGTAATTATAATAAGCAAAAATATGTACATTGTATATTGACTATAAATAATAATTTTAAAACAAACAAAAAATATTGTCTAGACAAGAATTTCTTATTTGTAGTATTTGTTGAAATTAGTTATTTAATTTATTTATTTCTTAATGGCAAAGAATTTATATGTTTTTTCGTTGTTATGATTGAGCAAATCAGTAACTTTATTTAAATTAAATGTAAATCGTACTATTTAATAAACTAGAAAATCGAACGCGCTTGCGCGCTTCTGTCAAAATGTTGATTATCGACAATTTAATTATTCAATATTTTTACAAATTTTACTCATTAATATTTAACCATTGCCATGGTAACCGCTGTCATAGTAACGGTTGCTATGGTAACCGTTGTCATAGTAGACGTTGCTATGGTAACCATTGCTATGGTAACCGTTGCCAAAGTGATCATCATAGCAATGAAAAGCGACAACAATGAAGACGTCACATCAACCTTTTAATAAAGGATTAATTGAGCACGAATAAACAATATTTATCCGTGCTCAATTAATGGAAATTCCGCATGGAAAAATATATATGCGAAAAATATATGCAAATATATATTTTCACATATATTTTATTTGCGCTAAATATATGTCCGCATATATGTTCACATATATGCGTAGATATATGTTCACATATATGCGTGCATATATGTTCACATATATGTGCGCATATAAGTGTCTAGAGATACACAGAAAAAAATTTAACTTGAATCAAGAAAATAATTTTGAAAAATTCAACTTTCTTGATTTGAGTAAAAAAATTCTCAAACTTAGAAATTTTTTATTGTGTATGCTTACATATATGTCTACATATATGTATACATATATGTAAGCATGTATCTCTGCATATATGTGAAAAATATATGTTGACATATTTTTTTTGCGTAAATATATGCGGCATATATATTATATATGCGAAATATATATTTTTGACATATATATTTCTCCATGCGGGAAAACATAAGGTTCCTACATAATCGATAAACTTATTGAAAATGTATTCAATAATTTTTTAAAAACGCATACGATCATATGTGTTCATATCTAATAATATTTATATATTCATTAATACAAGAACTTAGTTGTTTACACAATACAATATTTGAATTAGAGCCCAATAATGAAATTAAGATATTAAAACAAAAAAAAAAAAATAGGGAAGGTTTGAATAAATTTTGAATATCTTTTATCGAATGATTTTTATTATTTTTTGCTAAATAGGTATACATGGAATACCAATGGTTATTTTGCCTTATCGACCTTCTAAGTAGCAAATTATGTATCTTTATTTTATAAAATCCTTCATTTGTGTTAAAAAAATTAAAGTAAACATTTTTTTTAATCTATAAATCGATTCAATATTCTAGCCTATCTAGAATATGTTTATCTAGATTACTCAAATAATATTTTTTCGGACTATGACTATTTAAAAATTTCAAAAAGTCGCATTTTAAAAATTATGGAATTAGTTAATTTGTTAATTAGAACTTCAATATAATTTACTTCCTCTGGGTACTTGACTAATGTAATGTTTTGTAAGATGTGTATTATCGATCAACGTGATTTTTTTAGGTTTTTTGAATAACAAGCGTATTTCTTTGACGATAAATAACTAACAAACTATTTTACCCAATAATAAACTATCATAAATTATTTTATTGAATTTTGAACAATTTCAAGTGTAAAATAGAAACATATTTTTGTGTCATCCTCATTGCTTTATTATTAGAATATTATCTACCATTGTAATTGCAAAATATGCATTTCCGGTTGCATTGGGCATCACGTGATGATGATGAGTTTATTAAAGAAGCAGACAGTGGTGTTGAATGAGGATGATACTGATAGCGGTAATTATCGGGAGAATAATTAATATTCTTCATAAAATGTGGGATAATAAATGGGTAAAAGATAAAAATGTGAGTAAGAATAAGCAGCGTGTAGAGAAAAATGATAGAACGAAGACGGATATAGCTGGTCAATGAGATGATGGTAGACTCAACGACGCCGTTATCGGAGGAAGTGAGGTCGAGTCGAAGGAGACCTTTGATGTTGATGTGAGAACAACTTTCCAATTTATCATTCTAAATGAATAAATTTGATTATAATTATAAATTATGAATGATATCGCGAGCTTGGACAATCGTGTAAATTTATAAGTAAATAAAAGTGGATGAGAAATTAACAAAGCGGGTGCAATCGTCGAAATTCGTGGTCGTGTAACGAACGAGAGAAACTGAGGGGTTACGGGCCATAGCTAATAAATTCGCGAGGCTCCGCAGTGCCCGGGGCGAAAGTTTTTTTAATCGCGAAGCATGGAAACCAGGCAGAGGTAGCCAAGCGTGAGGCACTGCACCCCCGGGAACTGCCCCCGCTAGCTGCGCTTGTCATTTTAAATCACTGGTAGCTATCTCCTGCGCGCGCACCGCCACCCTTCATCTCTTCCAGCAACCCTTCTCACACTCCTTTACATTAACTGAACACTGTTCAGCCCTCGAATCCACCTGAATTTAATTCCGTTTTACTCTCCCTACTAATTATATTTATGGCCCTTTTTCCTTCTACATGTACAGAACTTGTTTTCTGTCCAAATTCACCTTCCATGGACGTTCTGGATTTACGTTAAATTCAACACAAACGGTCCTCACATCTCACATGTCCCAAACGTCCCTCAAATTTGATGCTAAAAGGTTTTTTTTCTAAAAACATTCTAGAATGTTAAAAATAAATTTTTGCACGATTTAAAACTGAGCATTGTAATGATATAAAATCAAGGATTAATTTTATAGAAAATTATATTCTCCACAAATTTTGTACTTGCACTTTTTTTTTTGTCAAACGAGCCATTCTTTCAATATTTTTGAAAACATGAAATAATAAGTCGAAAAAATGACGTTAAAAACTAATATAACTTACGTAAGTAAAGTTAGAGTAAAGGCGCGCAGTAGCCTATCGGATCCGGCCCTCCCGTGTAAAAATGATATGATATCATTATGAAGCTCATAATGAATATCATAATGAATCTCATATTTTGGCACTAATATGAGATTCATATAAGAGCCATATCAATACTTTAGAAACCCGTAATAAGTAAAATACCTGTGGGAACGAATTTTTTTTCAGTAGATCAGTAAAAATTTCATTTTTTCTGTTAATCAGAGGAAATGTATAATAATTGAGAAAAACAGTATTTTTATCATGCACTATATTGTTGAACTACTTAAATTTTTTCCTTGTCTTTCTTAAATTAGAAGAATATTTAGAAAAACACTATCTTGGTTTTTGACTGAAAAGATTTTTTCGTCTCAAGATAGTTATTTTCTTATTTTGAAAACAATTTAAATCCTCCTAAAAATTTCTTTAATTTAATTATTTTGCAATATTTCTTGTATACAGTTATGACTCAATAATTTTATATCACGATTTAAAAAGACTAACAATATCATTATGATATTCATTATGAGCCTCATAATGATATCATATCATTTTTACACGGGCTTGCTTACCAAAATATTGGACCGGGTTCGAGTCCGGCGTACACCAATGAATATTTTCAATATTTAAGTGTATTATTCTGCTCAGCCCAAGAAATAAAACGAGTTCTAATCTC